ACTAGACATTCGAAGAACTTCAAAACTGACAACTGCTGATTTGTTTACAAGAACTACTTCAGGTGGTGCATTTGACGTGGAGGGAGGGCCTCCAGCTGGTACAGCCCCAAAAGATATATATCCACCGTCCCGTATAACAGATCTGAAGATTGAAGAGCAATCATATGACAATGGTACTATCAGATTGACGTGGACTGCTGTAGGCGATGACTACGATAGAGGAAGGGGTAGGCAACCATACCATTCACCAGTTCTGAGTTACCATAGTAGAAATAGATGTCCATTTTTTATGTCGGTATTACAATCCCTAAATGAAGCTGTATTTCTCTTTTCAGTTGACAGTTATGACTTGAGAAGATCTACAGGTGTTGATGAATTATACGATAATTTTGACAACGCTAGCCTGGTGACAAACGACGATCTCCTTGTGGGAAATCTATCGTCTCCACAGGTAGCCAGATCTCGTGAATCAATCGTGGTTATAATGAATGCAACACATAATAACCGAACCCACGCTTTCTCTGTTAGAGCCATCGACACAGCTGGTAACCAGGGGAAACCGTCTAATGTTGTATTCACCACATTTGTGTATGTACCCCCAGTAACAAGCACAGTAGCACCAACCTCAGAGTCGGATGTCCTGTGGCCAAATACTACACTGACTACTCCCAGACAGAACGTCACTAAAAGTAAATTGACAACTACTGCACTAATACTAATTATCGTCGTTTCTTCCATCGTTGTTATTGCTCTGCTTTGTGCAATTATATGTTGCATGCAAAAACGACACACTAAAGGGAGATTTGATTTGCCAATATAGAACAATAAAACAATAACAGACTGACAGACACACATACCCATAGACTGAATGGTTACGAATGTTAATTCCGATATGATTTATGTTGTGAAGAATGGTGTGTGTGTTTTTTGTTACATACACTAACTGTCTAATGAATAATAATGTTAATAAGTCAAGCTATAATTTGGTTAACCAACACCGTATCGAATTGATTTGCTTTACACTGAACTGTATTTTTGTTGGCAATCTTTGAATATGCACAATTCAACTCAATACACTATATTGTATTCTGAACATTTATGACTGTCACTTACAAGTCATTATATATGTGTACACTTGTTCTGCGTAAGTTATTATTTTTCTTCTATGAACGTAAAATCCCAAGTGTAATTGTAAACACGATACATTTTCAAATGAAAAATAATCTATTCATATTACCTCTATAACATAAAATTGTCGAGTTTTCTGGTTTTGTCAAGTTTTCATATTACTGAATATAGTCTTTCGATGGGGTGAATAGTGCAGGGGATACGATAAACTAGACAAGTCACTGCACAGACAGAATATGACAAAGATTGAGACCAACTAAATTGGTTACACTATGGGATGAATAGATCGGGATGTGTGAATAAATTCATTCGATATCTCCACATCGATGTCACTTTGTAATGAAATTACTTCGTCTTTTCCATTCTTGCTAAGTGAGAAAGCGACAAAGCCAATAATCATTATGATTATCGCTGCACAGATAAGACATACGAGGACAATGAGCCACATTTCAAGTGTAGAATCTTCTATTGTCTCTCCACCCGCAGCCATGGTAGCAGAAATCGATGCTATGACTGATATATCACCGTGATTGGCTGCCTCGTCTATGGCCACAATTGCGAAGTAGTACGTCATGTTTCTGTTCGTAGTAGTCGGTATTGACACAGTGACGGACTCCTGGGAACCTGCTGTATGTGGCGATAACAGTGTGCCTTCTATTAGATCAGAGTCGTGTATACGTAGACATTGGGAGAAATTTGATTTTAGCTCAAAGAATGTTGTACTGGTACGAAGGTCATAAGATGTTGCTGTGAAAAAAAACACACGTTTTAGAATATCGGTAATTGAAATTAGTTGTGGAGTTTCGGACGCGAATGTCAATTCGTTAATACGAAGAATAGAATAAGAAGTGCCAACAATAATTTTCAAAATCAAAAATTAAAAAAAAAATGTCTATGAACAGTAAATTACAATACCAGTTCCCTGATCAAAGTCATCGCCACTCGCCGTCCATCCCAATTGCACACAGTCTGCATATGCAAAATTTGTAATTTTCAAATCTGCAATTCTAGAAGGAGGATACAGATCTATGTTCATGTGTTCTTCGCCAATTTCAATACTGTCATCAAGTTGTATTACTCCGCCAGTGGCAGTGCGATCAAACTCACCAATAGGCGTTGGTTCTTGGCCAAAACTAGACGGTATCGCACCTGCAATAAATGTATAGCATATTGGATAGATAAAAGATGGAAAATAATATAAAGGAAGAAGTACACATTCTAGCTTCATCGCACACATTTTAGAGCCTCCTTTATGAATGACGTAGTTTCGATGATTGGCATAAAGTTTACTTAGCAAGCACTTCAATCAGATTAAATTAAAAACATTCATGGACACACATGGAATATAAACAACATAATCTTACTGTAGTTGGTGGGAAGAGCTCCGCTTCCCATTACGTATTCCTGGATACCGGCGGTACCATAATCGTCATTAGCCTCAACTTTCACTGTGTATCTACATATATTGATACAGTCGTCTGTTTTTACAAAGTCCAAGAAATATGCAGAATACACGCCGTCTTCTTTGGTTACATCAGCGCCTGTGAGAAAGGATAAACGTGACTGAATAAAGACCGGTCTGAAGTAAAACACAGTATACCCGAAGAAGGGGATTAAAGGGGATTTACCAGTCATAGAGCACAAATAACGCCAACGATTGACAAACAATCAATAAAACAAAAACACAAAACAAATGATTGACAAGCAATTAACTAGTACAAAACAACTGACAATGTATTGGTCAAATCACTGAGTGATATATATACACATACCTCAAGGCATATTGTCACAAAATAAAGCTAGGTGATTGAAAGGGAGAGAGCAAACTAGATATGGTAGAATACGAGTCACTGGGTATCCAAACGTATGTCTCCTATTAATGCCGTATTAATTGTAATAATTATAGACGTTCACTCACAAATTAAACGTAAGTATATTGTATTTTGACATTTCTACCAATAGTAAGCGAAAGTTCTAATCGCGATCATTCGTACGCTGCTTTTCTACTTTTAACTTTACCATACCTCCCCCATTATCCAGTAGTTGTAGTCTCACATCAGCATTGTTGTCCGGTCGTTCAACTGTAGCTACCACATTGGCATTGATGACTGCCGAGTGACCTCTTCGTAGTTCAGCATATACAACTGTCTGAGGCGGCGTTGTATCAATCAATGCTGAACCCACGCTTGATGTTAATTTCATTGGGCCCATTTCGTTATCACCAGACCTTGATTCGATAGAAATTTCAATTAACCTAGAACTTTGATCACCATTTCTAATTATATATGCCCAAGAACCAACCTGAAATAAATAAATACGAATAGTTACATGTATAACACAACATTGCAGTACGTGGCAGACAGGTGAGTTGGTACAGACATTAGAAGAATACAAACATGTCATAAATATTTTTTTGTAATCCAACATAGGTATTTCTGGATAATATCTTATGAATAGAATATGAACATGCTTCTAATAGGAAGGATCAGGTAACCTGTCTAACCTCTGATTGTCCCTCAAGATGTATTGTAGTCGTCTTTGTTCTCTTATCATAGCTGTATTCTGGAGAGTCTTCATTGATAACCACACCTCCTGATGGAGACGTCAGATCTACTGTTACAGAACTGTCTGGTGTACTGAACTCTCGGAGAAAAAGAAGAACTTGCTGTCCGAACCCAGGGTTGAATCAATGTAAACAGTTCTCTCTATTGTACCTGCACTGGTATGGATTCCACTTTACTGACCAACTGACGTATGTAACAAATTAAATATAATGTATTAGATCATGCGTGTTTGCTTCCAGATGGTCAGGTTCATGATTTGATCTTCTTTTTCATGATTGCCGAAATGCATTGCATTCATCTCATTACTAGTATACAAACATTGGTTATCGAACTTAGCAGTAAGACTCATTATTCAATTTAAGGTCAATAACTATTTTTCCTGCATTTTGTGCGGCAAGGCAGGAATTCCTCTTCAACTGTGGCGACGCCTCCCCCAAAGATTTTTCGAGGGGACGACCGCACCCTTTGCCCCCCCCCCCCGTACCACCGCCACTGATAAATACTCTTGAATGCACAATCGATTGGAAACAACCAAAAAACATCAACAAGACATTTATTCTCGTCCAAATCGCTGATCTAAACATATGTATGGTGTAGAGACCACCTGACCATGGGTTACCTTCGCGATATAGACATTATTTCTAATCTTTATGACGCATGCAACTACTAGTTGTACTAAAGTCTAAAAAGTTGGCTCACCTGGACCGGGGCTCCATAGCTATTTAGTTCTCTGTCAATAACACAGGTAGTGAATCCGTCGTGCAGTGCCGTCGATGTTGGTGACTCAGAGTAGTAATTTGACTTTCCACCTGTGGCTGTTGAAAGGGAGGTAAGTTGGAAATCCGCCTGCTCGCTAAAAGCTAATGTATCTACAATAGTTTGACTTTCCGTGACGTTGTACATTACATCATTAAGATAAGGTTCTATGTTTTCCTCGCCATCCGAGATGATAAATAATATACCACCTTCTGTGCCTTCTGTGCTATTTTCCAATACCTGAAATACGAGCAGAGCAATATTGTTACAGAAATCGTTAACGTTTATCGTTATTACTTTCTGTTAAGGTATTTTCTTTTACTAATATCTTCAATCTTGTAAAATACATGTCGTCTGCTGATCGAAATACCTGAATTCCTTCCAGTATACCACATCCAATACAAGTATTGCCATTAGCCCGCACAGGAAGCAATGCAATCAGATCTTCTCTCACTTGATCGTTTGTTATTTGCGTCAAAGGTGATGTAGTCCTTGACGATGTACTGAATTCCACCAAACCCAACCAACTACCCAGGGGTAAGGTGTGACGGATATACCTAGTAGCTGCCTGCACCAACATATTTAGTCTGTCATTCTATATAAATTAATCAAATAACTCATGTTACTATTTTTCCCCATATTCCCATTCCGATTAGGGTTCAGAATTAAACACTGCAAAAGCAAATAAACTATGTTCTTAGGGGAAAAACTGTGATCGATTTTTATGATTCTATTCGTGAGTAAATGTATAATATAATAAACCTACTAGGAACATGCTGCCAGACACATCCATGATCAACACCGTTCGTCTGTCACGTGCTTTTACGATTGTAAATATTGGCAACGTGTCAGCACCACCCAGTGGTGTATTATCAGCAAAGTCGGTATGATCGTTCATGACTGCCCAGTTACTTCTATGGCCACATTGTTTATTCTGTTGATTGTTGGCTAGTTGGTTGTGTATGGCATCTGGGTCTCCGTCATCGTCACAAAAATCAGTAATCTTTAAATTAAAACAAAAAATAAGTATAAGTTTATACTTCTTCAGGTAATCGATTGGTAACTATTATGTGGCAAACTGCCTTTCGTAATATACACCTTGTTTCATTATATAATGATTTTTTATTATAGAATTAACAAAATGAATATTATGACAGTTATTTCGCTTGAGAATGTTGTTAGATATTACAACCATAAAAACATGAGATATCATGTAATACATTATTTTAAGTAATTTAAATACTGTTAAGTAAGTCAATCACCAAGTCAGTCAGTCAGTCAGTCAGTCAGTCAGTCAGTCTAGCTAACGAATATATATGGTCGCTCGATTTGTCCATTTGTAAATTATTTTTATTCCTCACCCCATCAAGGTAATTTGCGTACAGATACGATGCCGTTGCAGGGTTGCCATCTAGGTGTGGGTAAAACGTACATGTTGGTCCAGGCAGCAAACCCGAATCAGAATCTGTGTTACATTTCTTCCATCCATCGGCGCTATCTAGTGATTCCCGGTAACAGATTTCGAACACCGAGTCGG